CTAGTGTTCAGAAAGTTAAAAATTGAGTGAAAGAGCCCGAGTAACCAGTAGAAACGGAAGAAGATGAGGTTTGACTGGTACAGATGTAGTTAGAGCTATAATTTCAGAGAAAGAACCAGTGGGCAGTTGCTTAAATTTGTGTAGGCACTTCCAAAGTTTGATGACAAGGATGTAGAAGCATTTTTAAATTTCTTTTCAAAAAGAGCTAGACAGTGAGGTGGCAAAAAGTAAAGTGGACATTGCTTGTGCAAAGCAGGCTAACTAGCAGAGCTTTTGAAGGAAGCTTCTAACGATTGTGAAATGGCAAATATAGTTATTCTTGGTGCATATGAGTGGTCCCTGATGTTTACATACAGAAATTTCAGAATCTCCAGAAGCAACCTTGACAGACTTGTATAGAATTTTGAAAGAGTTGAGCAAATTAGCTTTGATTTAGATGTAGACACCACAAATGAGAACCATAATAATTCTCCTAGAGGAATTTTAAAATTCACTCCTTTCATGAGAAATAATCCACACAGAGACCCTGATTACAACAACCAGGCAGGTGAAATGGCTTATGATTGTGTTTGTTCACAAAACCAAACACTTTTTCCATTACCCTCACAAATCTGAGAATAGAAGATGGGAGGGTGAAAGGAAGGCAAGTAGTCAAGGATGAGAAGGAGCAGTTGAAAATGCCCTCGGACCTCCTCCTTAGACCACAAAGGTGATTAGGATGGAAGAGCTGTTTAAAAGCCTAAGTGTTTTCGTTGTTACAAGGTTGGTTGCATTCATGCAGCTTGTTGGAAGTTGGACTTACTGGGGTGCTCAAGATCAATGCAGAGAAAACAACCCTTACCATGAGTATAACAGACCAAGTTGTGGCTCTGGGTGCAGTTGTGAAGCCAGATACTAGCAGTACTACTGTGGGTGCAGGGAAAGTGAATTAGGTACCTAAGAGCTACAGGAAATGCTTGTTGAAAACTAGCTCCTTATCAATCAAATGAGATAGGTAAACATATTATTATACTTTGGGAATGATTTGCCAGCGGTAACATAGTAGCTTCTTCAATTAAAAACAGAAAGCAGTTAAAGCAGTTGCGGGAAAAGATTCCAGGATTTTTGCCTTCATGTATAGTGACCTGAACAATGGCTAAATAAATTTAAATGTTGGAAGCCAATTTGGCACAACAGATATTAGGCTTTCTGAAACTTTCTTTGGGGGTTTGAATAATCTGAAGAAAATGTTTATAAGTCTTCTTTGATCAAGGTTCAGCAAGTCAATCCAGAGTTAAGAAGCGTAATCAGCGCAAACCGAAATTTAAGCAGAGGTATTTCCAGAATGCTAGGATATTAAAAATATGATTCTAATGTGGAAATAGAGACATTCTTGCAGACCTGCGAATGAAGATAGATGGTGGTTCACTAGATAGTGATGCTGCTCAAATATCATCAGGAGATATTAAGGATAGCCAATTAAATTCCGACATAAGACATGTAGGGATCCAGAAGACCCAAACCTGAATAAGTTGACATTTTCCTTGCCAGGACTTCAAACGAACATTATGGTTTTTTTTTAAAATGTGTCATACTAGCTAGATTGTAGGAAAACCACAGCTGAAAAGAAACCAGCAAGACTAATTCCTGTACTATTTTTTGGGTAATCAATCTTTGGGGTGCTGGTAAACTATGAGTGGCTTCTACTGAAAAAAGGAGTGAGAAACCACTATATCTGTACTTTTATGGATTGACTGCTTTGTTCCCAGATGCTAATTCCTTGAGAACAATTTCTGCCAAGCTAATGATGGAGAAGTTAACAAGAGTTCTTCACTCAAAATGGATTAACAATTAAGATCTAGCTGAATTGACATTCCAATTATATGTCTAAAAACTTTTCAAGACATTATGAGCAGTCTGGATTCTACACAGTTAAGTCCTTAGCAAACAACCCACAGACACAAGGGGTTTTAGAACTGTATGATCAAACCCTCAAAACAATGTTTAAGGTATAATGTCATCTGTTCCCAATTTGTATGGAACCATAATTATACAAATGAAAAGGGACTTCAGTTATGTGGATCCTTAGGCAAGTGGATCAATGACAAGATCTGACAGATTTAAAGTAATTGCCACAAAGTCTAAAGGGGAATAAAACCTACAGACTTGTTAGGATCTGAAATGCACACCCTGAACCAGTGGTGGAAGCAAATGCCTTTGGCACTTCTAAGAGATAACCGGGCATATGATGGACTAATTTTCAGGTTTACCGGGAGAAAAACTGCAGTGTGTGACTAAATTGAACAGTTATTTCAAAAATTGACAAAGATGTATCAGACCATATGACCTACTTCTGTCCTGTAAGATCTATCATTCCATTTGTAAATAGTGTACAGTAAAAATGCAACAAGCTGTTTGTATAACTGCTATTTTGCATAATTTACAGAGGCTATTTTTGTAATATATATATATCTCCAGAAGTGCTCTTACACACAATCGAATGATTTTCCCACCACCAAATCACTGTGACATTTTTTCCAACTACTAACCACCACCAATAAATCAACTGTGCAACCAGTTTGATATTTACATGCAAAGCCCATCACGGGCAATGCAAACCATCAGAAGTGAGGGAGTGGTAGGGAGAACAGGAAGGGGTTAAAGCAAATTGGAGTTGAAGGGGGAAATAAAGCACTGAAGCCCTCAGGGTACCACCTGTTTCTAAAGGCATTGGGAGCATTGGTGGACACTGTGTGCTCCGTCTCCAACGGCACCCAGGCAAAAACATAAACAGAGGCTCTTTACTATGTTTTCCTAATCAACCTGTTCAGAGATGTTATGACACACCTGTGAAGCAGGTGGGACTTGAACCCAGGCCTCCTGGCTCAAAGGTAGGGAAATTAGTACTGTGCTATGAGAGCCCATCTGACAGAAACTCTTTAGATATTTTCTAATCAACCTTTTCAGCGATGATTTTACACACCTCTGGAACAAGTGGAACTTGAACTGGGGCCTCTTGGTTCAGAGATAGGGACATTACCATTGCACCACAACAGCCATGTAGTTAATTAAGTATATACAAGAAAAGCCCATTATGGGCAATACAAACCCTCAAAAGTGAGGATGGGGGGTAGGGAGAAAGGGAAGAGACAAAACCAAAATAGATTTGGAGAGGGAAATAAAGCACAGTATCCCGCCAAGGTGCCCACCTCTCTTTAAAGGCAACAGATTCTTTATTTTTCAAAGAAGCTCTTTATTGTTTTATCTGCCATTTAATACATGTTAATAATTAAGTAAATATTTTATCCTTGACATTCCCATGAAATATTTTGAATACTTGAATGATGGGTAGTCCTCCCTAGATTCAAATTTGTTCAATTCTAAATATTTAATTCTCATTTTCATCACTGAATTCCCATTTTGCTCCATTTGTGTTGATTAATTCAAATTACTGGCTAATTTCAAGCCTGATTGTAAAATATTGTGTCCTGATGATAGGTCACTGAACCTAAATATTAACCCTAATCTCTAACAGAGAATGCTGTCTGACCAATTACATAATTGCCAACATTTACTGTTTTAATAGTTGAATTAACAGTAGACTGCATAATCATTTTCTGTAGTTTGTTTTCACTTCAGTTTTTCATCAGCCATGTATTTTGATTTTGTAAAAAGTTATGTATCTTTTATTTGTCTCAACAGAAATAGCAGATATTAACATTACTGGAACATCTAAACTCCAATGATTATCTCACCAACATACTACCCTTTAGTGAAAATGAGCAAAAGCATAGGATCAACTGTGCGCTGAAATCATTGATATTTTCCAGTGTATGGGCTGCACTACATTTCAGGAATATTTAAACACTACTATAAAATTTCCTATTTTCTTGATGCTACAAATTCAGAACAAAATGCAGCATTTGGTGAAATACATACATTTTTGTGTAAAATGTGGAATTAACTTCTAAACATTGCTACATTTACAGTACTTTTGGATAAACATGTGCTGGCATCAGAATAAACAAATGTGATTCATTAGGAATAATATTAATCACATACATCGGTTTTTTTAAAATCATAAAGACCTTGAATATTGCTGAACAGAGGGACTGGCTGTTTATGTTTTTTTTGTCTTCCACTTCCAGGGCCGACACAAAAAAGCCAACCTTCAAATGATGATAACAGTTTATGCTACAGGAGGAACATGGCAAGACATCTCTGATGCCCAGGGTGTTGCCATGGAAAAAAACAAGGAACTCAGGTTCCCTAGTCGCCCAGGTAATTCAGAAAAGGTGCAAGACTTGAACACATTTGTTTGCGGAGAATTGATCCCTGAAATTAACGTATGTTGCTTTCAGCAAGACGTCACACGTTTAGCTGATACTTTAAATTGAAGTTACTCTGTTAGCACTTCTGGATTGTTCAGCAAGTACTGCCTGATTGAAGATCATCTCCAACAGTAACAGTTTCAATTTGGGTTTCTGCGATCATTAACTGATTGAGGATCTGTACCCTGCCGAATACAAACAACCAAAGGGGTATTCTAGAACAAAAACAGAAGTTGCTGGAAAAGCTCAGCAGGTCTGGCAGCATTTGTGAAGAAAAAAAAAATCAGAGTTAACGTTTACGGGTCCGGTAACCCTTCCTCGGAATACCCCTTCCTCAAAGGGGTATTCTGTTTGATTCAATCAATCGATCGTTGGGAAATATGGCTTTGTACCTGGCACCGAAATCCAGATATAACGTTCTGTCCACCATTATAACTACTGAATCAACTTCCCCCACTCTTTTAGATTAGAGAACAAAACGCTTTGGGTTAGGTGGGGTGAGGGGCATAGATCGCCAGGTAGCGAAAGTCAAAATGAAAACATTTTCTTTCCTCCACGTGTATTGGGATGCTTCTGGCGGATGCCTCCTCTCCAATAAGTGCGATAGGTGTAACGAATGTACAAGGGATTACCATCAGTAACGAACCATTCACCTCCCTCTCTCTTTTCCGCGCTCTGACCGTTACTAACAGAACTCCGAGGGCCGCCGGAAACTGGGTTGCGGACTTCCGGCAGAAGTTTCTGGTGACATTACTCCTGCTTCGCCTACGCTCGGGCCAAGGGGTGGTGTGGGGTGCCTGCTGCCGGGCGCGACCGTCTGTGGCTGCTGCCACGAGGGCAGGAAAACACTTCCGTTCGCCCTTGTGTGCGATAGCGCCGAGTTTAACCTCGCTTCTTGTCCCACTTGTTTCGTAATGACTTCTAGAACGTTCTGGGCAAGGAACCGGTTCATGTTTTTGCCCAGAGTTCCCCGTCTCCTCCACGCTGCCGAGTAACCATGGAGGGAAGGGAGTGTGGGGCGGCAACCAGTGGCTCTGCCCCTCGAAAGGCTGAAGTCAGAGAGAGTAGCAGCAACAGCAGGGAAACTTGTGACTTGAAGCAGGTAGGTAGGGGGTCCTTTGTGCTCTCTCGAACTTTTTGTTTTAAATTTTGAGACTCCTCACGGGTCGAGCCTATCGCTCCAACCCTGCAGTTCACCTGGATGTAGCCCTCCTCAGTTATTGACTCCACCCCTCCCTTATCCGCTATACCGGAGGATCCCGGTTACTTCTCCAAGGACACCGAGCACAGAAGACCCTCGAAATGACCATTTGCCAATTGCTCCCGGTAGTTTAGAAACTAGGGGATGCGTTGAAAGTTTTAGCGATAGGAATGGTGGGGGTGGGTTGCTTTGAGCTACAACTTTTTAAATGCAATTTATGGTCGTGGAAATGCTGCCTTTGAGGATGTTGAAACTCAAATGAAAGATGACTTCAAAAGGAAGTTCCATGAAGACTTGAGGAAAATCAACTTGCAGGGCTATGGGGGATAGAGTCGGGAAATTATAGTCCTTCAGAGATCCAACATGATTTTGATAGACTGCCTTGCTCCTGTGCCATGATAGCTGAGATCTGATCTTCCTTTCTTGGTCTCCAGTTTTGTAATTCCCAATCCCACAAAATCTTCTAAGATAGTGTGGAGCTGGAGGAACGCAGCAGGCCAGAATTTCTGAAGAAGGGTCCTGACCCAAAACATCAGCTTTCCTACTCCTCTGATGCTGCCTGGCCTGCTGTGTTCCTCCAGCTCCACACTGTGTTATCTCTGATTCCAGCATCGGCAGTTGTTGCTCATCTTCCAGTTTATCCTTCTGTCTGATCTTCTGATGTCTGTATTTGTGACTCTTGACGCCCGCAGCCACTTGCAGTTTCCACTAATGGAGAATGATCCAACTAAGCACCCATCTATCCAGTTCTGAGGGGCAAGGTGAGGGGGCTAGAGGGCTTGTTGGGCCTCCATTCAAGGAAGAAGTAGTCTGTCCCTATTCATCAACACTCCTCTCTGCCTGCCTGCACTTGTCACTTTTGTACTAGTTTCCCTCAATTTCACTGACTTGTCCTAAGTAAAATGAGTATTTATACATGAGAATGGCTCCTATCCGTCTTTTCATGGGATATGTGGCATATTCTTTATTATAGAATAATTAGGGAGCCCCTCCAACAGATCTTTTTCTGTGTATTGATGGTGCAGTTGGTGTCGTTTCCTACTGTTGAATTTTTCAGTTCTAGGCAATCAACCTTGTTTCCTATTTCCACCATTCCCTGCCCTTCAACTCCTAGTGTTCCTTAACTACTTTGTTTTGTTTCAGGTGATAGGCTACCAAACAGTTCCTCTTGTGCTCTCTCAGACTCCAACTGTTAACATGATTACACTCCTTACAATCCTGCTTCCTTTCTTGTCTCTTCTGTGTTGCTGTTTGCCTGTTCTGATTATGCCACCTCTGAACCACTACTTTCTCTACTGTGGGATTTCCCTTCATTCTGGTTGTTAGGATCTTCAACAGTGTCTGTTCCGTTTCCTCTCAGCCATTCCAGAACTACAGCAGGACCCCTCTTATCCAGCCTGCCCATTCAACAGACTTACCTGCAATTTCTGCTCCCTGTAATGTCAGCAAATGCTCCCCTTTCAGTAGTCCAAAGAAGCAACTCCCAGAGGTTCACTTCGCATTCTGCCTCCCCGTTCCCATGGCATAGGGGATGCAACATCTGCCTCTTCCACCCTTCGCATTATAGATACCAAAAACATTCTGCCAGTGGAACAGTGATTTATTCTTTCAGATTTTTATCCTACATTTTGTACATTTGATAAAATACCTTTTATATTTGGTAAACCAAATACAGATTAGGTGACTACTTTGAGGAATGCCATCTTTCGGTTTAGAAATGAGACTCTGAACTTACGATCACCTGTCGCTTTAATTCTGCAGTCCGTGCTGTTCCAGTGAAGCTCAATGTAAGCTTGAAGAAAAGTATTGTATCTTTCAATAATGCACTTTACCACTTCCTAGATTTAAAATTGATCTCAAGAATTTTAGATCATAACAATTGTCACAAACACCAGCAAGGCTAGCAATTGTTGCGCTGACCGACTTTGGGAACATCTGTGCATGTTGCCCGCTTGAACTGTTACAAATGTAGGTACACTTGCAGTGTTGTTGGAAAGGGAATTCCAACATTTTGACTGAGCAATAGAACTGAAATGGTATTATATATTCCGGTCAGGATGGTGCATGGTTTGGATGGGAAATTGCAGATAATAGTGTTCCCATATATTTGCTGCCGTTATCTGGGTTAATGGTAGAGGTTGAGAGTTTGGGATGTGCTGTCAAAGGAACTTTGGCAAATTGCTGTTGTGCATCTTGTAAATGGGATACATTGCTGCCACTGTGCATCAGTAGCAGACAAAATGAACGTTTAAGGTTGTGTATGGGGTGCCAGTCAAATGGAGTTCTTTCTGCTGGATAGTGTTAAGTTCTTGCATGTTATTGGAGCTGTGCTTATCCAAGCAAGCGGAGAGTATTACATCTTGCATCTGGCTTGTGCCTTTATGAATAGTAGACATACTGGGAAGTAAAATGTTAAATTACCTGCCAGATAATTCTTAATTTGCATCTGCTTTTGTAGCACTGGTTTTGCTGTGTCTGGTTCAGTTAAGTTTTTGGACAATAGTAATGCGTACAGGATGTTGATGGCAGTTGGGTGACTCGATGTTCGAAATGCTTTTGAATGTTAAGAGGAGAATGCTAGGTATTTTTTCCTCAGACTTGCAATTGCTTGGATTTTGTGTTGTTATAAATATTAATTTCCATTTAGCCTAAGTCAAAATATTACTCAGGCCTTGCTACCTATGGATGTGGACTGCTTCAGTTTTGAGTTGTGGTTGGAACATTCAGTACACAATTGTCAGTGAACATTCCAACTGCCGACATTTTATAAGAGGTGGGGGAGGCTCTCATGCCTCAGTGGTGCTCTGGGCTGGACAGTCCAGGTTCAAGTCTTATCAACTCCAAACAGGAAAGAATGAACTCCTGCAGCAGTGTTCTGAGGATGAGTTGATTGCCCTTGAACAGCTACAACCACCTTTCTTTCTGCAGTTATGTTTCCGAGCGTTGGACAATAACACCCCCACCCAATTTTTAAAAAATTCATTCATAAGACAAGGTCCTTGCTGGCTGTGCCAGCATTTGTTGCCCATCCCTAATTGCCCAGAGGGCAGTTACGAGTTAACAACATTGCTCTGGCTCTGCAGACACATATAGGCCTGACCAGGAAAGGATGGTAGTTTCCTTCCTTAAGGAACATTAGTGAAGTAGATGGGTTTTTCCTGATAATCGTCACTGATTTCATGGGTTATCGTTGGACACTTATTTCCAGAATTTTATTGAACTCAAATTCCACCATCTGCCATGGCAGGATTCGAACCCAGGTCCTCAGAACATTACCTAGGTCTCTGGATTAACAATCCAGCGATGATGCCACTAGGCCATCATCACCACAACCAATTTCCATTGACTTTAGCTTTGCCACAGTGCTATACTTAGTCAAATACTACCTTGATGAAAACAGTCACTCTAACCTATCATGAATTCACCCCATTTGCCCATTTTTGAACTGGGGTGTAATAAGATCAGAAGCTGATTGCTAACCGATCCCAAACATCCAACAACCAGTTTTTGCTGTAGACAATGCACTATAACTTAACACAGTTGAAGATGTCTTTTATTGCTTGCTGATAAAGAGAATAGACTAGTATGGCAGTAATTGACTGAATTGGATTTGTTTGGGTGTTTGCAAACAGGGTGTACCTTGAAGATTTTCCCAAACCATTGGCTAAAATTTAATGTAGCTCTACTGGAATAATTGGCTTGGAGTACAACTCTTCACGATTACAGATGGGATTTGTCAAGCCCATTGCATTTGCTTTCCCATACTTTCACCAGTTTCTTGATACCCTGTGGAATGAATCAAATTAGTTGAAGACTGGCACCTGTGATGCTTGGCACTTCAGGCAGAAGCTAGAATGGATTATCCACTCTACTGGCTGAAATGCTGCATGTTGTCCTCTGTTGTAGCATCGCTAGCTTTGCACTTCATTTTTATCTATACCTGTGTTGCTCTGGGAATTAAATCCTGCTGTCCTCATTTATTCAGAATTGAATCTCTGGCTTGATGGCAATGGTAGTACGAAGATGCATATGTATAGGACACAACTCAAAGGAACTCCTGCAAGAATGTTCTGAGGATGGGTTGATTGACCTAGAACAACTACAACTACAACTACAACTGTCTTTCTGGAAGGGTCACTTGACCGGAAATGTTAACTCTGCTTTCTCAGATGCTGCTAGACCTGCTGAGATTTTCCAACAATTTCTATTTTTGTTTCTAATATTTTTAACTTAACCATTGTATAACATTGAAATATTCAGATCACGTTTTTTCATGAAGACACAAGAGAAAGTACTTTGATTTATATAATACCTTTCATGATCTCAAGATGCATCAAAGTACTTCACTACTAAAAAATTACCTTGAACTATGATTACTGTTATGCAAGGAAACATAGGAGCTAACTATAGCACTGAAACAAACGATTAGTTAAAGTATTTTTTCCTGGTGTTGCTTCAATAACTGTAACAAAGCTACCTATCAGCTGTTTTGTACCGCATTGATTAAATGCTTTCATTTTGATATAGGAAAATGTTCTTGGAGGTAATGAGGTGAAAAGTACAGCAGTGGTGAAATACTCTGCTGCGCCACCTCCTGCAGCGTATGCACGACTTCAAGAGAAAACGGACCTTAAATTGCCTCCTGCAAATTGGCTGCGTGGGATTAGCCAGCTTGGACAAATGGATGCAACTTCTCTTGGAACAAGCAAAAAGAGCAAGCCATTTTCCAGGTGATTTATTTTAGAATTATAATTGTTCAGAACTGTACATTTACCCATGTTTAATTAGAGTTTCCTATTGCTATATGAATGCATTTTCTTTATGTTTATTCTTTTTGTGTCTACTAAGGCTATTGCATTGCCAGTTTCCTGATGGGCTTAATTTTGACAAAAAGGACATAGAATTCTGTCAGTGATAAAATTTTATTACATGACAATCATGGTGCTCAAACAATGTTTTTGGGTTACTCATATTTCAGAGCAAAATGATTTCAAAATAGGTTTGAATTATGTGTAACAAGTCATTTGGTAATCTCTGTATGTAACGACAAAAACCTATACAGAGGTCTCTGATTTATGAAGTCTGACTTACAATTGTGAATACTTAAAAATGCAATCCCGTACAAGGATGTAATTTAATATACAAACATTTCCTGTGCTTATGCCCGACTGTTTTATATTGTCGTGCATTGTGTTCTGACTTGTGTACAAATCAACTTGCAAACGGACTCAGGAACAGAATCGGTTCCCGACCAAGGACTGTCTGTACGTGTACAGTGCAATGTTGCAAAGGCTTTGCAGGAACATTACAAGACAAAACATGACAGTCACATTAGATGCTATTAGGTCAGATATCTAAAACCTTAGTCAAAGGGATTGGGTTTAAGTGTTTTCAAGGAGTCAAGTTGGGTGAAGTGGCAAAAAGGTATGGCCACTGATGGAGAAGTGACTAATCTAGGATGCTCAAGAGGTTGGAATTTGAGAAGTGCACATAAAGGTTGGGCTGGAGGAAATGGCAGAAATGGAAAGAGACAAGATGATGGAGATATTGTAAATCAACATGAGAATTTTCAAATCAAGGCATTTCTTAGTGAGCTAATGTAGTTTGGTGATAGATTCAGTTTGAGAGTCAAGACATGGAAAAAAAAATGTTAATATTGTTTTGAAATTACATTGTTCCTGCATTACATCCTTCAACTTTCTGCTACAATGTTATGTTCTGATTGTGATGATCAATGCAGTCATTGTCAACCATCATTCATAGCTGAGCCCAATTACTTTCCGATGACCGTGTACCCTGGTTTATCAAGACTAGGATTGTTAGGGGAAGCAGTGTCAGTTAGGGGAAATCATGGTTCACCTATTTCACTCCACCTAATTTAAGGGAGCAGTTAAGTTGGATTTATTTTTTAACAAAATGCCTTGGTATGCCATTTGGAGTTGTTACTAATAATAAATAATGTAATTACTTAGGAATGAATAGGGTATTTCTTTAGTCAACATTCTCCAAATGTGTACTTCGAGTTCCCCGTCATCAGCTAAGTTTGTTCAGCTATTGGTAGTGTACTAGACTGTAAGGTGTCCCCTTCTTTGCACAAACAACACGCTCCTTTTGAGGTAACTTATTGAACCATTTGTTGAGTTCAAGTTGCTACAAACAAGGCTGTTTAAAATATTATTTGTATCACTAGTGCTAATCAAATGTAAAAATTGCCTCTTGAAGTAGTTCATGCTAACAAAATGCTGGGAAGGCAAATCCTAATAAAAGAAAAGTGGAAGTTAATGTACAGCATTTCATCAGAATAATTTCTATTTGATATACACTTTGAAGATTTTTTAATTGTAATTTTATGAAGAAGATTAAACTTAATTTATTTTTCTTTAAGCTTTGGAATGGCATACGACTTCATTGACTGCATTGGGAATGATGTTGATGTTGTTTCTGATTCTGAGGTACTGTATTCTGACTGATATGCATTTAACTAGTTCTTTAAGTAAAGCCACAGGTTGTCTAGCTAGTATATCAATTTTGAAAGTTTTCCAAAAGTTAAGAATTCCTCCTTGTCTTCAAGTGCAACTATATTAAACTCTTCTAATTTAATTGATATCAACAAAAGCTGATTATCTCTTTGTCACTGTCAGAAAGGAGTAGCTGCGCTATGTATTTGAAGGGGTCTATCATAAATCAAGTAATTGCTAAAGCATTTTTATTTGATTTTTTTTTTAACAGATTATTTTGTTCCATTATACTGTTCGTTTAGGTGTGCATTGCAGTCATAATTGTGACATTGCAAATGTTGTATTTTGCACTAAGACCAACTTTCTGGTTTAATTCAGCTTGAATCTTATTACCACAATGAGACTGTCTTAACACTTGATAGGCATTCTATAAATTTAGAATTATTATGGTCTGGGATCGTACCACACTAATGTCCATCATAGAAGTTTCAAGTAAGCTTGCTATTTAGATTTTTATGATCTCAGACCAAATCACAAAACTGTTATGAATTTGCTAGGGACCAGTAACTTTGTAAATTAACGTTTGTGAATCCAGGTGTAAGAGCATTCTAAAGTTACCGTGAAGGTCCCACCTTCTCACCCTCACCCCTTACCTGAGGTGTGGTAATCCTCCACCAGTCATCTCCCCTGTAATGAGAGCGTGGTCTTGTGGTCTCTGGGACTATGGCAACCTTATTTTATAGTTGTACTGACAATAGTCATAGTTTTGACAGACAAAAATGTATTTTAAATATACGTTAGAATATCAATGCAATCTGTTTTGTATGAGTTGTATTCTTCCATCCAGATTTAACCTGTTGTAAATATGGATATCAAGACAAACTGACTACCCCAGAGGAACACATCAAAGAAACAGACATGGTTTAGAGAGATCCCATGTCGATTGTGAACAAAGACATTAGGTAGTCATCAAATCTCGTGAAAATCTTACAAGCGATTCCAGTTCTTCATTTATGTAGACCTAGCTTTAGAAATCCTTCAAGCATTGGTTCATTGTGGACAGCCTTAACGACTGCTCATGTCTTGTTAGTTTGCTTTCCTTTGCTGAAATATTACTTTCTTGGATCCCTGCAAGTGTAATCTAGCGTCCAAACAAAGGCACAATTCCAGCTCCTCCTCAAACATATAGCTTCATCAAACTGGTACTCATCCCTGGGTTTCTCCGAGCTCTAAAGCTTCTCAGCTTCACCTGGTAACATCTGCTTGTGGGCCGCCTTCACCCCACTCTGTTTCACTGAACCTCTAATGGCTTGCAGCCTTTCTGAGCCCTCGTAGCTCCCGGATCTTTCCTGAGCCCTGACCCCAACACCTATTAATTTTCCATACCTCCTGGAGCTCCGACTGAACAGTCTTATCAAAGAGCTCCTAAGACTTCTTGCTGAGGCCAGACTGTACAGTTCCACTTTCTCAGCAGCAGCACTTTTCCTGCATTGAACTTATTCCTTTGCTTTTAATTCTGTCCTTAGCTTACTAACTTTAACTCCTGAATTGATCTAGGTGACCAATTGAAAACCTCCAAACAAAACCTTCCCTTATTATGGGACAAAATCAAATATAACTAATATTGGATCACAAGTTCCCTCAATGTTATGTTTTTTAAAGATTGCTGACTTATAAGTACAAATGAATATAAGAAGTGGATTTCATCAAAATTTTACAGGGGGGTCCCTGATGTAGTAATGTCCAATTTTATGAATGCTTGTACTTATGAACACAATCCAGTACAGGGGTATAATTTTCAAGATTCAACATATGAACATTTCCTGTACTTACAAATAGTTTAGTCTATTTGCAATCCGGGGATTGCCTTTATTCCCATATCTTAATAAATGTAACATTATTCCCCAAATTTCTTTTCTCATAAAATAGCATTATTTGCACTCGCTTACAATTAATGGGATATTACAGTGCCCTTGGTGTCTTGTTCCAGTGGCTTTTCCAACTGTGAGCTCTGACAATGAATACTAGGGAGCTTTTTGGCTATCTTTCCTCTGAGCCTTGTCTGATTATTTATTTGTTTTCACATGCACACTTTGCAGTAACGATCAGTGGATAATAATTAGTGTGGGAATTTTTAGCAAATTCCATATCCCCATTTCTACAGTGCTAATTGTAAGCAAAAATGTATCAAAGCTATGTGGGTTTTCTGACACTGTTGCTTTGCTTAGATTACCAATGGATATCATCTTCCAGAAAGATTGTGAATCAAGAATAGTGACTCTCTTTTTGGCTCACTGCTGATAACTGGTGATTACTGTGGCTATGCAAGCCAAGTTTTACCAGTAGCTTCGTGTATTTGCATTGTAATATTTCTACCATGCTTGCCCACCTGCCCTGCTCTGCCCACCTACAAACTGGTACCGTCCCATCTGGTACCTTCACCTGCCTGGCACCCCCATTCATCCATCTCCTACCCTATCTCTACCCTTTTACAGTAGCTTTCAGAGTTGTTGGCCATGCTGCTGGGCATTTAAACTTCAGAATATGGTGTTTTTACCGCTGCAAAAGCTGTGTGGTTTACATATCAATCCTCTCCTCTTGATGGCTGAGCATTCCTGAATAGGTTTCTGCGGTTTCATGATAGTCCAGGAATCTCAGCACTGAACTAATCAAAAGGTAAGCATGAAGTTTTCAACTAAAAAAACTATGATTTCAATCCTGACCAGAATTTCTGGGCCAATATGCTTATCAAACAAAAGGGTCTTTTCTTCCCTTGCATTTCATTTTTCCATTGGACCTTAATAAGAGGAACTGCTTTCATATTTACCAATATTGCCTCGCAATAATTAAGCTTTTCAAGAGCAATGGGCTCTTCTGCCATGTTCTGCATCCTAGTTAACTTTGGATCATCTGATTAATAGTGAAGGAAAACTGCATTTTGCTAAAATGAGGGGCGAGACTAAGCTGTTGTGGCAATCCAGGGATGAATAGAGACGTGGGAATAGTTGAGGGCTATAAAAAGAAGCATACGTCAAAAATATGGGCATCCGAGAAATAGAAAGAGAAAACGTGAAAAAATTAGGACAGACGTAAAAACAGAAGAAGCACACCACCTTGTTAACAACATATTCACTGGGATCAAGTTCACCAGGGAAGAGAACAACTTCGATCAGCTCCCATTTCTAGACGTAATGGTGGAACAAACAAATGAACAACAGTGAATTCCTTACCAGTGTATACAGAAAGACTACACACACAGACCAAATCCTGAATTACAACAGTAACCATCCCAGCGTCCACAAACAGAGTTGTGTCAAGACTCTGTTTATACGAGCAATAACACACTACAACATCCGGTGGTACGCAAAAACGAAGAGGAACACCTATACAAAGTCTTTGAAAACAGCAGATATCCTAATAGCTACATCTGCCGATGCCTGGCAAATAAACAACACCCAAGAAGACACTGTATACCGCAACACTCTGGCCACCCTACCCTTCATTAGAAACCACAATGAGCAGGACAAATGTGATGTACAAAATTCCATGCAGCAACTGTAAGAAGCAATACACAGGACAGACGCGCAGGAAACTCGCCACCAGGATATGTGAACACTAACTTGCAACAAAATGGCACAACCATTTCTCCCTTGTTTATATTCTCTCCGACAAAGAAGGACATCAGTTGGGATGATGGGACAACATAACAGTACTAGGACTAACAAAACAAAGACAAGCACAAGAATTCCCGGAAGCCTGGTTTTCAACCACTGGTGCCATAAACAAATATTGAAATAGATGCCATCTACGTACCACTACGAAGCAAAACCAGAAACAGGACTGCCCACCATGACAGACTGGAGCGCGTAAATTCAGAATGGAACAGAACGACAGTGCTTCAGCAGAGGCTAAACAGCATTGAAGATGTCACCTTGAAGAAGAACCAGTCAGCTCGGCAAACCAACCAACAACTCCAGCCACAGCCTAGGCTGGAGATCTTCACTAAAATATTAATCTTTATAATTTTTGCTGTTGAAATTTGCACTATAGGGGGACTATATTTTTGAGGGACCTCACCTAGGAATAAGGTATAATTTAATTTAGTCACTATAAAACATTTAAAATTCCAATTTCAGTCAGATGAGATGTAATACCACTTTAATACCAGTCTTCCAACATGAATGGAATATTTGTGACAAATCATTGTGATACACAGGTCCAGAAGCCACTTCTTGCTTGCAGAAGGACTTCTCTGTTTTGGTGTGTTTACTGAAAGATTTTATTTTGCTAATTGGTTGTGTATCTAAACTGAAGATATCCACTTAGCAATTACTCAACTTCTAGTGATTCCTGTTTTATCTATGAGGTTAAAAACTCATGAGCCACTCTAAAATTCGCAAAACACTTGGCTTGAGATTAGTTGCAGTTTGATGTGATTTTGTCAATGTGAAAATATGGTACAAATGAACTGCCAGCACCAGAAAGCTATCTGGCACCTAAAATAAACTGTCCTGATGTGAAATGCATTCACATGTTTCGCAGAAAAAATACACATTGACAATGTGAAATTCTTAATTTTGGTTATATTTACATCAGATTTATTTCACGTTGTACAAAATACACTTTTAAAATTAATTGTGGAAGAACTATGTTTTTTGGATATTGAGACATAAAATATTGCTTAAACCTCTGTACATTCAATTTATTTTGCATGATCTGTAAAGTTGGCAAGTTAGTCCATAAAGTAAATCAATGAACAGCTATATTCCCTGCAATGGATTAATTAAATGTATCTACCATTGCTAAGTGAGTGCTAATTTCATTTTATGATGATAATGAAGTGTAATGTCATGCATTTTGTTAAAATTAGAACATAAAAAAGTTACTGAAGATACCATACAGCAAATCACATGTCAGCATGGGTGTTCATCGCGTTGGAAGGACCCTCCTGCTTGATGAATTAGATATTCAGGAATTGTTTATGACCTCATCCCAGGTAATTATAAGCTCCTGTTGTTCTAACCATGAAATAGCTTTTATATAAAGCCATCTATTGGTACCATTCTGCAAAGTCCTTAATGGATGAGCAAAGGCGAGAGGGTCCAATTGGGTACTATCCCTTATCTGTGTCATTTGCACTTAATTGGACACATTGATTTGTTTTTTTTAAAGTATTGATTAATTCTTAACGTAATATTATGACATTGATGCTAGTTTGGTCTATACATTCCAAAGAGCATTTTTATACAAAATTGCAGTGAAGTAATTCTACATGATTCTTTCTTTATGCTTGAATGCTCAAACTCTCTCATGCAGAGTGAATTACTTGTGGAACGTCTTCATGCCTAACTTGTTCCGCAAAGCAGTTACCCAGTATGCATTTGTATTGCCAATGTACAGCAGATCATATTAAGTGAATGCAGCAAATTAGTTTGTAAGAAATGCAAGTAAATTGGTGCTTTGCCTGGAAAGTTTGTCTTGCGGAACTCTTCCATTTTGTCCCTCGTAAAAAGTTCTGCTCTGTGCTTGCTGCAGAGTTCTGTGATGACCAATACAAACTGGAAGAACAGCACTTCCTTTTCTACTTGTGGACTATATGGACTTCTGAGCTTAACACTGAGTTCAACAATTTCAGACCATAAACTCAGTTCTCGTTTGATGCCCCTCTCCCCCACCCCACCCACCCACCAAAAACACCACTCACCATTGTTTCCACAGGCTTGCTGTCAGCAGAGTTTACCTATTTTTCTGCTACAAATGCCTATTCATCACCACCATTGCTTCTGAGTTCCAAGGTTCCACGCACAATGATGGTGTCTGCATGTCAATTGCAGCATTGATTTTCAGTTCCACAAGGGAAAGTGATGGCCTGGTGGCATAATCGCTGGACTTTTAACTCAGAGACCTAGGTAATATTCTGGGGACCCAGGGTCGAATCCCGCCATTGCAGACGGTGGAATTTGAATTCAATAAAAATCTGGACCTAAGAGTCTAATGATGACCATGAAACCTTTGTCGATTATTGGAAAAACCCATCTGGTTAGCTAATGCCCTTTTAAGGAAGGAAATCTGCAGTCCTTACCAGTCTGGTCTACATGTGACTCCAGCAATGTGGTTGACTCTTAACTGCCTTCTGGGCAAATAGGGATGGGCAATAAATGCTGCCTGGCCAGTGATGCCCTCACCCTGTGAATGCATAACAAAAAAAAAAAATCATGCATGGACCTCAAAGGCCCATGCAGCTGGAAAGAAAATTGAAGGGAATGCTGCTCATATTAGCACTCGCTTTGCCTTTTGCTCTGGACACCCTTGCAGTTTTCTATTTGCTCCTCCTCTTCCTCACCCCATGCTCTTCAACTGCATAGAGACTATCACTTTTCACTCTTCAGTTCTGAAGAAGAGTCACATTGAACTTGAAACATTAGCTGTATTTCTCTGTCAATGGATGCTATTGGACCTGCTGAGTTTCTCCAGCATTTTGCTTTTATTTCAGATCTCCAGTATCTGCAGTACTTTGCTTTCATTTGGAACTTATTTACACTTGGAGAGACAATGGCAACTGTCTGACTGTGCCATGAATAGACCTGGAGTTTCTCAAAGTCTCAGGAAAATCTTAAGTCTTATAGATATCAGGTTGTAAATAATTATGCTAAAGCAGAGAAAATGCTGACTATTGTTGACCACGCAGACTGAAGTTGGGAATGTGCACTCATGTTTATGACTCAGTTTGTGAGGTTTTAAGAGGTTGGAAGATTCACTTATCTTAGGCCAAAGCTGAGTGTGTACATTGTAATCCTCTCAGTGAAAGTTCTGGGATATAAAAAGAAAGCAAGCCCTGGGCAGCAGAGATTAATTTTTCCTGGTTCCTGGCTGGAGAAGAACCGTGTAACATAATAACAAAAATGGAAGATTTTTGGTTCTTCAAGTTAAATGGGGAACCAATATCCCTTCATTTGCTTAAAGTACAAATTGTCCACGAAAAGAAAATAATGTTCATTCAGTTGTCTTCTTTAAATATAGTCATTTGTGACAGTAAAATTGCTCAAACGTAATCTTGATATGTTATTCTTTCAGCTGACAGCTAAAAATTAGAATTTCTCTTTAAAAAGTTGTTTGTCTCTTTACAAATTGTAATAATTCTGATAGCTGAAGTACCAACGCGTTATTAAAATAAGTGTAAGAATTCCACTATCCCTGAACTTCTTTGGGAACCAAATGTTGGTAGCGTTTTTCTCTTAATCAGTGGTCTTTCCAAGCCAAGCACCATCTCCATTTAACTGGATACATAATTGGCACAGGCCTAATAACAGGAAAATCATACAATGTGAGAAAACGAAATTTTAGCAACTTTAATTGTTGATAGGAGGTAGCAATGTCCTTTCATTTACATATATGCTGGATATATAGCAACTTTTCATCCAGTTGAAGATTGGTATAATTCAGGTCAGCACCTTCCAACACTACCATGGTAACAACCAGTAACTATGTACATGAAACTGTGTTAATGGGATTAGGGACTGCAAGGCACAGAATAAAGTTTTGATCTCCTTGTTTGAGGAAGGATATATTTGCTTTGGTAGCAGTTCAAGAAGGTTCATGAAGTTGATTCCTGGAATGAAGAGTTTATTTGTTTGTTTTATAAGGAAACATTGAGCAGGTTAGGCCTATGTTCATTGGAGTTTCGGCGAATGAGAGACTGTTATGAAAAGGAGCCTGATGGAGTTAGTGTTGAGGGAATTGAGGAAATGTAGAACTAGGGGAATATCTTCCAAAAACTGGGTCGCCCCTTTAAGACCCGAGGTGTGGGAGAATTTCTTATCAAAAGATTGTTAGAGCTTTGTTTTGATAGCTTTAGAGACTGATGATTTAAAGGGTAATTCAGACTTCTTGTTAATAGCTGAAAGTATAACATCTCAAGATTTCAGGTTCTATAAAAGAATTGAAACGGATTGAAGGACAGAATGCTAAGTAAACACTTTTTACCCCGTGGGTAACTTATACTTTAAACTTTAAATAGAGTTTTCCTTTTTCTACTTATACTGACATCTGTAAACCCCAATTTTGCTCAGCCTCTTAAGCAGATCTTGAATGTCTTTGAATCGATCCAAAGTGATTCACATCTCCCAAGAATTTACTGAGATAAACAGTTTCTTGAACTATAGGGTAACAGGTTATGGGGTGTTGACAGGAAAGTGCCATCAAGTAAATCAGATCAGCTATAAAGTTATTAAATGACGGAGCAGGCTCAAAAACTCTATGTCCTCATCTTCCTGTTTTTATGTTCTTATGTTTAGAATGAAATCCAAACATTGAGGTTTTGTGATTTTGCCGATTAACTGTTTATAGGGCACAATCTATTCTCCGAAATAATGTTTTGATGCTTAATAGTGAGAATGAACGGTAGTACCCTGAAGTATATATTTATCTTTGTTAATCCTTTAACTAAACCGTGGTCAAATTGTATTTGTACAGTTAACTGTTCTAAATGCAATGTTATGTGAATGAATGAGAACTTGTTTCGTTTTAGACAGGAGACTGGAATTGGCTAAAAGAATTATACCAAAGACTTGTGGATCCAAAATGGCAAAGAAAAAAGAAAAGCAGGGAGCAGTTCTATCAGAAAGCAATTCTTTCCAAATTTCTATACTATAGGTGAGTGATTTTAATTTATGATCAATCGGTAAATAAGTTGACAACTTGGACACTACTAGTCCGATTGTATTGGCACAAAATAAGTTAGTATTTCTGTTTAACTGACGAAATTTCACAAACTATCTTTTTCAATATTATGCAGAAATTAGGCTTGAAAATGGTTAAGAACTGTTGTGTTCAAACTGTGTGATCTAATCTGGGAATTTGGTTTCTTTCTCGTGATATGTTGGGAGAAAAGTTGATTATGAAGTCTCCTTTTAGGACAAATGAATAGTTACTTAACAAGCTCAGTTTTACTTCTACCACTTCTGTGGATTCTGTTTCAGAAGCGCAAAGGATTTTAATTAATCTACATTTTGACTTCCAGATGATTTGTCGAAGTGGATTATGAAATAGATGATTCTGACAGCAGCTAACAAAACTCTGAGCTATGAATTGTGATCTACCCTTATTTCTTACGGGCTATAACTTAGGCCAAGCCAATCCTGCCCTACTCTCTAATCTCTGATTCCAAATTATGTTATGACGTGGTTAGCAACCTGTTAATTTATTTTTGTTTGAAGTACATAAAGTTTGTGATCCCAGATGCATAACTTGGAATAAAACGACAATATTCTGTAGTTTTCATCATACAAAGTATAATTTACACAATTAGAGAAATTAAATATCTACAGTTTACCTAAAATTTATGCTCCAGCATCCAAAATAACATGAGGTAAATGTGGTTTAATGAGCAAGCCATGGCAAATTATTTGGGAATTTTTTTTTCATATAATACTTAAGATATGGAGGGAAATTTTATGTTATAGTTTAAAGCAAATTTGAATTTTTTTGTATTTGACACAATATATATTAAAAAGAAACATTAAAATGTTCCAATTTGAAGAGATTGTAATGTTTCACTAAAAATTGCTTTTCATGCCGTACAACTATGTATTTTTTGGTCATTTATTACAATATTTATTTTTCAGTTTCCTTTTGACTTCCATTAGTTTTTTTTCTAGTTGTAAACATTGCATTGATTATTTTCTTCTGAATGCTTTTAGTGTCAATGGAGATTGTGGAGCAGAACCAGTTCCAACTCCTATAGCACAACCTGCTGACACTCAGCCCCAGGTAAACCCAATAGCTGTAGAGGATTCCTCCTGGCCTGCACCCCTGAGAACATCTGCTTCTGTCCCTGAAGATGGAAATCCTCAGGAACAGGTAAGTTGTTACTGTGAATTTTACGTAACTCCTAGCTCATTATGGTTCAGTTAAATTTTAAAACAGTCCAGGAATTTTTCATGTCATTTGATTATTTTCTCATGTCCTTTGAAAACTGCTTAATATCTGGTTAGGGTTACTTATTCTGCTAGTTTAGAATTATTAGTGACAGTCTATAAAATTTTGTTTGGAAGTATAGTCAACACAAGGCAAATATTTGATAATAGCTCTTAATGTCTGACATCTCACTGTTTTCAATGCAGAATTATTGAATTAAACATAAATTGGTTCGCAGTAGTCCTTTTGTTACATTGTAATTTGTACATTTGTGTATAAACTCCGCCAATTTTTATAAACAACCAGCTCATTTTAGCATGATTATGTTTGAACAGATTAACTATATTTCTTTAGATGGAGTTGTACACTTGAAAGAATAAGAAAACTGTAACATTCATTACCCATCTAGTTATTTTTTAGCATCCCGATCTTGGGAAATTAGTGTATTTGTTGGGGTTAAACTGCATAATCTTACTTCAAGAATTTAAATTTGATAATTTTTGTTTCTAAATGGCTTCAAAGTAATTAATTCCATTAAAAGAACTTTCCTCACTATAGAATGCTAATAAAGGTGGAAATTTGATTTAAAAGCAAAATTGAATACTCTGGTATCTATTATATTTCTGAGAAAAGAATACCATTACACTGGGTTAAGTCTATGTAAATCCATTACAGTGGAGTCTTCAAGATCAGTTTCAATGATTTTATCTGGAATTTTGTTGTTTCTGTAAAATGCTTTTGTTTTAGCTTGTAGATGCTTTTAACTTCTGTAATGCAGATTACTGTGTTTGAGTGGCAGTCAAACATTCATTGCTTAGAGCTTGATTAATTTTATTTTTCAAGCTAAACTCTATCAGATAATGGTATTATCAGGCCATTGCTGAATTAGAAGGCAGAAAAAAAAATTCAAGAATGAAATTACTGTCTAAATTTTAATCTGAAACCGGGCTTGGTGAGCACAAAATTATATTGTAATTAAGTTGCGTTGCATTGATCTGAGATGATTTTGTAAAAGAGGGAGTGAAGGAAAGTTAATCAATGGGACCAGATCTTAAGTAGGCTCTGCTGTATTAATGTTTTAACACTCTTTGCAAATGCTAAAATAGTGTGTGTATTGGGTAAAAATATACATGCTTGCACCTTTTGCAGGGGAATGTTCCTCTGGAAGCCACATATGTATTAGAGCAGGTGGCCTCTACCCCGAAAGAACAAAACCTGACTACTTTTTTGAATGAAGGGGAAAACAGTCAGGTATGGTGAAGATGACCAATTTCCAAGTATTTCCCTAAAAAAAGGGAGCTTTTATAATAGGTCCCAATTGGCTTTTTAATAAATAAAATTGGTATTGTTAAGTTTGTTACACTTTCCTTGATATCTGATTACGTTCAAGTGTCCTTTCTTCACTCTTCTATTTTAAAAATAAGTATCCTTTTAACAACTTGTCTCTCTTTCTAAAGGGGCTTAAAAATGATTTTGTCAGGAATATTCTTTGGACGTTTGAAGATATTCATATGCTTGTGGGTTCAAATATGCCTATTTTTGGTGGCGGAAAATATCCAGCTGTAAGCTTAAGACTCAGGTAAGCTTTTTATGCAATATGGAAGGTGTTAGTTTATCCACTGTCAGCATGTTATTCACTCAAGTACCTCTTTTTGCCCCAGTGAAGCGGAGACTAGTAGTAATAATTCAAATGGGATCATAACTGTAAACAGCGAAATCTGGGCTTGGAACATTTTTGGACTTGTTAGCAAAATTTCAGATGTTTTCTTCCTTGCTTCCTTTTTTGATGCCTGGCAAGTCATTTAAACAAATACCTAGCTAATCTATCACGGTAAAATGTTTTGTCCCAAGTGCAGTTCAATACTCCATTTGTTTTAGAGGTGAGTGAGAAGATTTGAGTCACTTTTAAGCAAGAATAAATTGTAATTTGTTCATTTGTGTGCATGATTGGCTGTTATTCAATTTACAAATGCCTAGTAACTTTTCAGAGGTTTTTAAGGAGTTATAATAGTTCTCAAATTAGTCAGTAAAGTTTAGTTTAAAGTTAAATAGAACATCAGACTTGTCTTCCCTTGGGTTTAGCCAAAGTTTAAAAACTAGGAAGGAGATGAAATCAGAAACCAAGGTGCAGCTGGTAGGAATTACGTAGGATAGTACAAACTGGAAAATGTGGGACGGTTCTTGTGCTGTAGTGGTAGTGTCCCTACCTCTGAGCCAGGAAACCCAGTTTCAAGCACCACCTCCACCAGAGATGTGCCATGACATCTCTGATTAGGTTGATCAGAAAATATCAATGGGTCGTCTTGTGCAGTGGCGGTGTTCCTTTCTGGACCAGTAGGCCTGGGTTTAAGTCACATCTACTCCAGAGATGTGTAGTAACACCCTTTAACAGGTGAATGAAAAAAAATATAGACCGGCAAATGTTTTGGTTTATCCATGATCCGATACAAGAATTTTTGCAATACTGTCAATCTGAGGAATTTTATGCCTCTATTTTTAAATGTTTCTTGGTTTTATCAATTATCATTGACTTGTATTAGCAAAATTGATCAACCTAAGTTTGCAAGCTTTAATTTGAGACATTTTGTTTCTTTCTTAGGGATAGCAACAAACCAATTAACATTCTGACAGGGATTGACTATTGGCTTGACAATTTAATGTGCAATGTTCCAGAACTTGTCATGTGCTTTCACGTTAATGGGATTGTACAGGTAAAAACAATTTTAGATTTAAAAAAAAACTTTTAGTAGTTCAATACTGTGATATTTTCATTTTTATTTAATGTGCTCAACTTTGAAAGACAGAAATGCATTTTTCTGCCTAATACACATGGGCACTTGGTGATCAAAAAAATTCCAATATCCTTTGTTTGTGCTAGTGGTTTAGTATCTGGGTATAATTTTTTGTTCAACCCGTATTTCAAGACTTGCTTCTACTACTAGCTGTAGTCAAGTCGTTTAAAATAATCGCTTAATAACAAATAGGGATTTTGAACCCTCGTTTGTAGGGTTTTTGATCACAGGCTCATTCCAGTCAGGAATCACTAGCAAGTTTTGAATTTGAAGTGCATCTTGGAAATATTATTTCCACTCTCATTTCTGATTTAATGGTGTATTTTCCCAGGTGTTAGGGGTGTTCAGGTACATGCTCCTTTAGAAAATTCTGAAATATAGTACAAAAGATTATGCAGTCATTAATTCAAAACTACTTTTCCTTAATTTAACAGTTCGTAGTCTGTTCAGTAACCAAAAAGATCTGAAGATATTTGGGTTTACAATAAAATAGTTTGCGCTCCTTCCAAAAAGGCTACCATAATGGCTAATCTTCTCCTCCAACTCCGTTCTCTTGCCACAGTGCATAGACACACCATACCCTCTTAAAACTCAGTTCAGAGTGACAACTGCGTCCAATCCAAACAGTTTTAAAGGGACTCTGTCCTCCTGTTAAATTGCCTGGGTGTTTTAATTTATTGAAAATAAGCAAAATCAACACACAATGAAGCAATTCCAAATGTATGTTCCATCAACATGAATCATTTCTGCAGTTTATGCATTTACAAAATAATCACTGGACTTAAATCTTACTTTCAAAATTGGCCCGAACCAGCGCCCCCCCCCACCCCTTCCACTTTTCCCAAATTTAACTTTCGTCCCTACGCCCTTTGAATTCACACTCTACTTTCCATTCCTCCATCACAGCTGAAGGTGACTTTTTACTCTACATCTTGTTTCTATATTGTGCTCAATCTCATTCTCATTGCGCTTCACTGTTTTTCATTAACTCGGGCATTTTTCCTTTTATTCACAGTAAATAGTTCAGAACTTATCTCTACTAACTGCTGTTTTCAGTGACACATACAGAATTGGAATTCTTATTCTTCTGAGAGTTCTTTCACACAATGTGCAACACCTTCTAATAATTTATAACAATAACAACTGAATATGCAAATCTCCAAGCAGTACTTACGGACACAAATGTAATAAGGGCAATATTTGGATGGTTGAAAATGAGTGTTGTTGTGTTGATTTTCACTCAGACATGGGAGCAAAGCCTCTGAAACTGTGTCTAACACAAATGATTGGAATGTATACCTGTTTAACTTTGGATAAAACTTGGCAGTGGTCAATTTAAATGACTTTCTGTTCATCAATAAATGTTCAGTTCTCTTTTCCAATTTGTAATTTTGTTGTAACTTTTGCATGTTTTGCAGAGATATGAAATGATAAAGACAGAAGATATCCCTAATTTAGACAATTCCAGTTTCTCCACTAAAGTGGTAAAAGATATTGCTCAGAATATTCTTTCATTTCTAAAGGCAAACTGTACTAAAGAAGGACATACGTATTGGCTCTTTAAAGGTGAGCAAAAATATTGAATTGAAATTCAGATTTAAAGCAGTAGATTCATTTGAAGGCAAGTGCTGATTTATTTTGCACAAGGTATACATTTGCCTTTATTGCACTGTTAATTATTTTTTGACATATAATTGGTAATTAGCTGCAGTCCCATTTGGGCAAAATATATTTCTCTGTTAGAGAGAGTCAGGTGGTGAGATCACCTGCAGAGTATTAATCTGCATTAAGCATGAGAACAAACAAGATCCTAAATCAGCATGAACTACTGTGAATACTATTTTGTAGAATTACAGAAATCTTACGGTGCAAACAGAGGTTATTCAGCCCATCGTACCTGCACCAGTTCTTCAAACAAGCATTATTTTTAAGTGCCAGTTTCCTCCTTTTCCCATACCCTTGCACAATATTTTTATCCAATGCCACCTTGATTATTTCAGTTGAGTGTGCCTCCACCACATTTCCAGGCAAGGCATTCCGTATCCTAACTCACTCACTGGGGGAAAAAAACATTTTTCCTTATTTCACCCTTACTTGTTTTGCAGATCATTCAAATCTTATTCTGATGAGAAGCAACAATTTCTGCCTATTTTACTCAAACCAGCCCACGCGTTATTTTGAAAACCTGTATCAGGTCTCCACTTATCCACCTTCTCTCCAAGGATAGTAGTCCCAACTTCTTCAATTTATCCACATAGCTGAAGTTTGTCATCCCTAGAACCATTCTTGAAAACTGTTTCTACATCTCTTCAATGCTTTCACATCTTGCCTTTAATGTGACGCCCAAAAATGTATACAGTACTCCAGCTGAAGTCTAACAAGTGTCTTACACAAGTCTAACATCACCTCCTTGCTGTTGTACTCTATGCACTTATTAATAAAGCTGAGGACACTATGCTGGACTTAGTGTTCTGTCCACCTGAACTGCCAATTCCAATGTATTCTGCACATATACATACAGGTCCCTCTGCTCCTGCACCCTCCTTAGAATTGTACCCTCCATTTAATTTGTATCTCAATTTCAATATTCTTCCTACCAAAATGCATCACCTCACACTTCTCTGCATTGAAAATTAATTTGCACACACTGCCAAATTCTTTATATCCTTCTGGAGTTCTGCACTATTCTTTTGGCAATTTGTCCATGTTTGTGCATCTGCAAACTTTGAAACTGCCCCCTTCACTCGGAGATTCTATCATTAATATATATCAGGAAAAGCAAGAGTCCTAACCCCTGAGGAGCTCTGCTACAAACCTTCCTCCTGACTGAAAAATACCCATTGACCATTCTCTTCCTATCATGCAACCAATTTTGTATCCATGTTACTACTGACCCTTTTATTCCATTACTGTTATTTTTCCTCAAGTCTGAGCAGCACTGTATCAAATGCCTTCTGAAAATCCATGTACACCACCTCAACAGTATCACCGTCATCAAGCCTTTGTTACCTCTTCAAAAAAACTCCTGCATGTTAGTTAAATGTGATTTCCTCTTTAGAAATCTATGCTGACTGTTCCTAATCAACCCACCTTTTCCCATGAAGTTATTAATTCTATCCAGAATAGTTATTTTTCAAAACTTCCCCACAACTTAACTTAAACTGGTTTGTCTGTAATTGCTGGGCTTATTGTTATAGCATGTCTTGAACAATTGTAATGTTTGCAATTTTCCAGTTTCTTGGCACTACCTCTGAGTCTACAGAAGTATGAAAGATGGTGGCCAGTGTCCCTGCAATTTCCACTATCACTTTCTTATAAATCCTTGGATGCGTCTCATCTGGTCCCAGTTACTTGTCAACTTTAGGTACAGTCAGTCTATCCAACTCTTCTGCCCCATCTTTTCTAATGAATGAATTTCTTCCTCTTTCACCATGGACTGGGTAGCATCTGCCTGTTTGGTAAAAACAGATACAAAGTATTCATTACAGACAACAAGGTGCAGGGCTGGATGAACACAGCAGGCCAAGCAGCAT